CCCTCTAAGCTGTGGAGTCTTGTGAGCAAAAATTCTACTTTGTGAGTTACTGCCGTTAAAGTTGTGAGCGAATGATTTGCTGCATAAATTAGTTTGCTCTGGAACCATCCTTCCTGAGCTAAGACAAAAAATGTGTGAGCCGGAGGCTAAAAAAACTGTGAGGTAGCTCACACTAACTCAGCGTAGAGGGAACACTGCCCGTGAGGTAGGTGGGGCTGAGAGAGCTCTCTTGAGCACTGCCCTTGAGAGAACAGCTCTGAAAGAACTTGCGACTGACCCAAGGTCACACCAGCAGCTGCATGTGGAGGAGTGGGGAATCAAACCCGGTTCTCCCAGATTAGAGTCCGCGCTCCTAACCACTGCACCAACCTGGGTCTCAAAGGCCCTGGCCTGAATGGCCTAAGGCTAGCCCGATCTTGTCATATCTCAGAAGCTGAGCAGGGTCTGCCCTGGTTAGTACTCAGATGGGAGACCGCCAAGGAAGTCTAGGATTGCTACGCAGAGGCAGGCGATGGCAAACCCACCTCTGTTAATCTCTTGCCTTGAAAACCCTACAGCGTGGCCAAAGGTTGGCTGCAAACTTTGTGGTACTTTACACACACACACACACACACACACACACACACACACACACACAAAGGACTGGGCCAGTGTAAGTCAGTAGTCAAGAAAGTTCACACCTGCCACCTACTTAGGGTTGCCAGGTCTGGGTTGGAAAACACCTGAAGACTTTGGGGGTGGATCCAGGAGAGGGCAGGGCTTGGGGAGGGGCCTCAGCATGGCACAATGCCAGAGAGTCCGCCCTTCAAAGCAGCCATTTTCTCCAGGGGAGCTGACCTCTGTCAGCTGGGGATCAGTTGTAAAAGCGGGAGATCCCCAGGCCCCACCTGGAGGCTGGCAACCCTACACCTACTGTCAAACTCATCTCCCACTCTTGGCATGTGTGCTTGCAGGGAAGACCGTTTTAACACGCACTTGCATTCGCTGTTAGGAATTTGCAAACCCTGCCCTGTTGTACCGATCACATTTCAAACACCCTGCATTCATCACTCAAGCATCTGCGAAGAGATGCCGTCTTTGCTCTGAAGCACGTTTTTCATCTTTCATCCGCCGTTTTTCCCTGACCAAGGTGTCTGCTTCAAAGAATGGCGTTCCTTTTCTTGTTTTTGACATTTCTTCTCCTAGGGTTGCTAGGTCCCCCCCCCGGCCTCTGGCAGGAGATGGGGGGGGGGAGAGTTGCCAGATCCTGGTTAGGAAACTCCTGGAGATTTGGGGATGAAGCCTGGGGAGGATGGGGGACCTCCGTGGTGTACGGTGCCATAGAGTCCACCCTCCAAAGCATCCACTTCCTCCCGGGGGGACTGATCTCTGTAGTCTAGACATGAGCTGTAATTCTGAGGCTAGCAAAACAATAAATCACCGTGTATGAATATACAATATAAGCAGATGTTTATAATTAATTGTCAGCAAAATTACAACTATAACATATTAAATGCGATCTTAGGCTTGGCAGTACATATGAAACACTACAGTATAGTCTCAGACAAACAGCGGATTTCTAGTATAAGTCCGTTTACGAATCCTTCTTCAGGTTTGTCGTCTGTATTCTTATCTTCAATAGAATAAAGTGCTGCAAGCATTATTTCACAATGTAAATTCTTATACAGTTTTTTGTACGTTATCGCGTTTAATCTGGTGACTGGGGAGCTCCTATCATGCTCTCATGTGACAGAGTCTACAATGTGATATTTGGCTCAGCTTCCCTCAGGGGAATTTACATTGTGTATATATTGTATTTTACTAGAAATCCGTTGTTTGTCTGAGACTATACTGTAGTGTTTCATATGTACTGCCAAGCCTAAGATCGCATTTAATATGTTATAGTTGTAATTTTGCTGACAATTAATTATAAACATCTGCTTATATTGTATATTCATACACGGTGATTTATTGTTTTGCTGGTTACATTACACCATGGTCTTGTTTGTTGTAATTCTGAGGCTGGCAACCCTACGCGGCCTGCACTCCTTACCTGATCCCACTTCCGTCCCTTGGAGCACAGGGACCTCAACATGGCCTTTCTTTCAGGGTTTCCCCCCCATTCTTGTCATGGCTGGCCTGACCTCATCAGATATCAGAAGTTAAGAGGACCGCTGAGGAAGTCCAGGGCTCTGACTCAAAGGCAGGCGATGGCAAACCGCCTCTGTCTACCTCTTGCCTTGAACACCCTACAGGGTCGCCCCGTCAGCTGCGACTGGGCCTCACAAAGATGTTTGTGAGGCCTCAAAAGATGGAAGTCATGTGTCTGGTGCCAAATGCACAGTTGCTGAATTAGAACATTGTAGTATATTCAATAGATGTCGTTGAATACCTAAACATCTATGCGAATCACCTCATAGAAACGCAATGTTAAGCTTCGTCCTGGGCTAGGAGCCTCCTGCACCCAATCGCATGGCTAGCCCAGGAAGAACCGACCAATCGCACTTCAGCAAGCTCCCCGAGCGGGAACATCGATGATTGGTCGTTATGAAGACAATCTCATTGGTTGGTATTTGTACAGTGGGTGTGGCTACATTAGCCGGGAATGTTTAAAAGCAGGACAGCTGCAATGTAAAGGCTGTTCCGGTTATCTGATGTTGATCCGTGTTGGAGTTGTGTTCGAGTTGAAGAATAAAGCTGTGTTCTTTGCTGAATCACTCTCCGACTTATTTGTTAAGCAAGCGACTTAACAAACATCTTCCCACTTAGGTCCAAAAAGCACCTGTGTGGCTATCTAAGTCAGAGCTAGAGTGTCCTCAAGCGAACAGCAATCAACATCTTTGTCTTGTGTCTTTAGATTTTGCTGCTTAACCTTCCTTTTCTTGGTCCAATATTCACTTGGTTATCTTATTGTAATATGTATTAAAGTTATGTGTACCTCAGTATTGTCTGACCTTTGAAGAAGGCCCCAATAGGGCGGAAACGCATCAGGTCATGCGTATTGGCCCTTGTGTTTACGCCACCTTTACTTGTTTATGAGGCTTTCATTGGGCCCTTATATGTTTTTAACTGTCTTTCTAATAAATAGATGTATTTTTGTATATTATAAGTTTTAACTTCGTTTTTAATATTGGCCCTTTATTTGACTTTTTTCTCACCCCTGTGGTTCTTGATTCCAGTTTTTGGGTCAGGTTTGTTTTCCCCTCCCTGTGCCTTCCTGTAGGAACATGGCACCTGAAGGGCCATCTCCCCCCATACTATCCAGCCTACCAGTTAAGATCTGCTCTGTATGCGCCCACCTTCAGAGGTGAGGCAGGGGGCGACTAGAGACAGGGTGTTTTTGGTGGTGGCCCCTCGCCTTTGGAATGCCCTCCCCCTTGAGGCTCACTTGGCGCCTACTTTCCTTTCCTTCAGGAACCAAATGAAAAACACATCTTTTTTTAACCTAGGATTTTAATTAGGCGCTGTATCTTATTATTTTTTTAAACGACCTCCTTCTGTTTTATCTCACCTTGACACAGAGAGTATTCCATCTCTCTGTGTTTATACCTCTGAGGATGCCAGTCACAGTTACTGGCGAAACGTCAGGTTCTACAATGCCAAGACCACGGGCCACACAACCCGGAAAATCTACAGTAACTAAAGTTTTCATGCTGCTTATGTCTAAAAGCTCGTTTTTTTAATACTGTGTTTTATAATTGTCAGCCGCCTTAAGCAGGAAGAGACGAAGAGGCAGCACAGAAATATTCTAAACGAAGGAAACCCTTGCAAACGATAACCCATGGAGATCTTTTTTGAATGCATTTCCCCCCCTGCTGCAATTTGGCAAGCCCTTGCTCTGAATCTTCCCACCCTTCAACACGGAAATACTTTCTCCCCCACCCCCAAACCAGAAATTGTACCCTGACCCTACTAGGAAGCAGTAGGGATTTAAAAAAAAATTCTATCAGAGCTCTGTGCCATAAATTTTATTTCATGCTGAGACTGGAAGCAGCTCATTGAAAAGTCCCGTCCCCCCAATATTTTATCGAAGACAAATGGTATATTAAAAAAAAACAACCGCTATGATCAGTGCTGCTCAAATTCCATTACTAGAGAACTTTCAATCTGTCACGTTCTCCGCATCCCTCCCTCCCCCGGTCACGTGTGGGCTGAAAATGGCTGGCCACGGCTGACCCATTAGCTGCAGTATGGAGCTGTCAAAGAAAGAGTGGTAAAGAGAAAGAAAACTCCCAGGGTGACAAAGAAAAAAAAAAGCAAATTGTAGAACCGGGAAGATATAGGCTTGCCGCCGGCCAAAAGTGTTCCAGCCCAAGCAGCAAACTGTCCCATCCCATAATGAGTACCAGGGCTTTGAAAGCCGATAAAACCCGGATGGCAAAGCCCGGTCCATCCTCCACAAAGCGTCACCAGTCCCTTTCTTTCCCCCATTTCTGCTCTGTGTTTTGGCCAAATAGTATGGGCTCACAAAGCAAGTTTGTCCTGACTCCACCCATGAGTTGCCTGGCTCCGCCTCAACGGCATCCAACTCTACTTTGGCTCTGCCTATTCCCACGGCCCCTCCTTGCTCCAGGGTGGGAGGAGGCAAGATCCTTCCGACTCAAATCATCCCAAAAGAAGGCAAAATGTCCAGCTCTTGTGCGGGATTCGGCTGCAGGGTCTTAGCTGGTGGTAAGAACTGCTCAGTTGGTGATTTATTTTGTGCCAGACTTGGGAAGAAGGGGACGCTTGGCTTTTCCCCCACAGAGGCCAAAGAGGAGAACTTCAGATCCTCAACCACATGGTCAGTAACCAATTATTTTGCTACCTCCTTAGTTTTACCAGGGAGTCAGTATCAGTAACAGAGAGGGAGCAGGGAGATTAAACTTGTTTTTTTCTTTCTTTTTTTTTTGGTCTTAGTGAAAATACTCTCCTGGCTTTGGAAAACGCCGTGAGAAGAGGTGGCCAAGTGAGGTCCTTTCGAAGTCCTGCTCTGGAGCATCTCAGTAGTCTGGAACCCAGCTGGCTCCTCTTTTGGGCCTTCACATTGTGTATGCAACCCAATAGATTACATTGACAGCCGCAAAGGCTGCTGGGAAAACTGCTCGGGCATAGATGTCAATAGTGTCTGCGTCAATGGGCTTGAAGAGGGACTTCAGGCCGCCCTTCTTCTCCGATTTCGCCTCCTGTCGCTTCTTTGTCTCTCCCGTTTCCACCTCCACCGAACCCAACGACCCGGGTGGGTTTTTGGGGACCTTGTGGTGCCTGTTGGAAACGGCAAGTTCCTGGTTGACTCCAGCTATCGAAAGGGAAAACATAACAATGGCGTTCTTCACGTTGACCTGGAAAGGGAAACAGGAGAGCCAATGAGGAGAGCAGGGGTCATTTCCTGCAGGAGCGCACAGGAGCGGAGCTCCGGCAGTAAAGAGCCCAGGGGGCGGGCAGGCACATGCAACAAGCCCCACCCCCTGCTCCCAGCAGCCCTCAGTCAGAGCAAGAACCAGCCAGGTGCAGAGCTCCCCCTGGCCCCCCGATCCAAAACAGTCTAGTGGCACCTTTAAGACCAAGTTGTATTCAGGTACAAGCTCTCCCTCCTCAGCGAGGACAGATCTGCACGTTCCCCCCCCCCCAATAGCAAGCAATCCAAAACAGTCCAGTGGAGCCTGAGTGGTGGATGTTGCCTTCTCACATACTTCTGGTGAGGTCAGGGGGGGTGGCGTATGCTAATGAGTTATGCTAATGAGTTATGCTAATGAGCTCCTGCACCACTTTTTCTACGAAATGACCCCTGGAGGAGAGTATGATTGGGACACAGAGCTAGAGATCTACGGGCCGTCCAATGATTCCATATTTGATTCATCTTTATACAGGATAAGAAGATGATCGTGAAACAATGATAGTGTATTGAACTGACGCCCTATACCAGCCTTGGCCTGGATAGCCCAATCTCATCACATATCGGAAGTAATGCTCCCTCTAAACTGTGGAGTCTTGTGAGCAAAAATTCTACTCGGTGAGCTGCTGGCATTAAAGCTGTGTGTGCGAGCGATTCGGCTGCTGCATAAACGGGTTCGCTCTGGAGCCCTCCTCCCCGAGCTGAGACAAAAATGTGTGAGCCGGAGGCTAAAAAAACCCCTGTGAGCTAGCTCACATTAACTCAGCTTTGAGGGATCACTGATCAAAAGCTAAGCAGGGTCAGTCCGGGTCAGTATTTGGGATGGGAGACCACCCAGGATGCACTAGGGTTGTGAGGCAGAGGCAGGTAATGGCAACCCGCCTTCAAATGCCTCTTGCCTTGAATATCCCACAGGGTCACCATAAGACAGCTGTGACTTGACGACCCCCCCCCCCCAAAAAAAAAGATTCTACC